ATTCATACCTTCGGTGTATAGGACGCAAGCAGATTTTGACATCAAATTTTGTGGTAAAAAAGTGCGTCTTATACACCGAAATATACGGTATTTAATTATCTATTCCCATTACAGGGATGATTAGCAGTTTTAATTCAAGTAGGTAGCTGGCTATAATGGGAAGTTAGTCCTAAAGAATGTGCAAATAAATACTTAGAATTGAGGGAATGCATTCGTTTTATTACATATATTTGTCTCTTTCCTGTAAGGTAACTTTCCAAGCACAAACGTGATGGTTTTTTTACTGTAACTAGTAATACAACCAGCATGTGAAACGTTTTTCCAAGTTATTTTCGATTCACTAACGTATTAGTTTAACTCAACCCGAATTTAATAAATTTTGCACGTATTTTTGTTTCTTCTCATTTGAATCCATTAAAGTAAATTTAAAGAAAGGGGATCACTTACGTCACGTGCTATTTGTTCCACCTGTGTTCTGACAGACTTAATTACAAATACTCAAGACTGTTCCTAATTGATTGAAACACTTCAATCCTTTCTACCGCTGACCCACATCAAGTATAGAGATGCCTGGCATCTCTCCTGCTGAAATGGCCCGTGCTTTGTCTTCTTCTGAGCATGCGTAGTGGAGACGGATATTCCACTTACTTACTGTCCAATATCAATTCAAAGCCCATCTGTTTGCGACGCAGCAAGAAGCCAACTTACGGGATTAGTTTCCCTTTACGTTTGTCTCGCTTCAGCTTATTCTACAAGTGTTGTAGAATAAAAGAGAAGACTGAAATTGTTTATTAACAATTCCTCACTTTCTCTATACTGCTAATTATTATTTTTTAAATTGTCTTTAAATGTTCTGGATTAAATGTTTATTTATACTTAGTACGTGATGGCAGTGCAGGATGGTGAGAGAAGCAAATTAGGTGAGTCTGAATCCCCCAAACCACTGAACGCCGATGTCGTATCTATTCATGTCACGGAGCATATAGAAACGAATTCTGAAAATCTGAGTGAGCATTCATCGCTAAGCTTACCTAGACGGTCGTCCTACGAGTACTCCGCCAGTCGTCTGGACGAAGGAGTGGTCGTGCGGGTGGCTAGCAGCGTTGAATGGAAAGAAGGAAACAGTGGGAATCCTTCCCGTTCATCTTCAGTTCTGTCAATAGCGTCGTCCCATAATAGCCACGGTGAAAAGACTCATCGTCGACAGAATCACGCAAGCCGTCGCAAGTCGTCAAGTTTGTACGTCGGAGAAGGAACGGAAGGATACGAGAATAGTGGCCACAAGTCTCGCAACAGAAGCCGCCATTATCTTGCTCCTCCAGCAGGCGGTAGTGGTCACAGTCGTCGGCATTCCATGGAAGTATCCAGCCAGCACACTGCGATTAAAAAGAAGAGGAAGAGTTCCTATCCCGAGAACGAGGTTCGTCGTGCTGACCGAAGATCCAGCGGCAGTAACTGTGGCCCTAGCTGTAGATCCTCTCGTAGTGAGGAGCAAGCTCGCCGGTCCTCTCGAGTATCGCGTAGGCCAACCAAGAGCAGTGAGAAGGACCATCACAAAGAAGACGTAGAACTGGAAAATGGAATACGACGAAGAAGGATGATCATAATTGTCATTTGTTCTGTGTCTATCTTCATTTTGCTGACCAGTGTTATCCTTGTGGCAGTTACTTTGTCCCTTTCGCCGACTATTGACAAGTTAGGTGAGATAAAACATATAATCTATCCAATCACAGCTTTTGTATCATTTCTGTAGACAAAAAGAACACTTCCAATGATACTTACATCTTATGATATGTTGGGATAAAGAAGATATAACACCATCATAGTAGTAAACCATAAATCTAGTTAATATTTTACGATATCAATATACAAATTTGACATATTAAACTAATATGGTTAAGACGCATGTGATTATTCTATCAATACTTTCAAAGCCATACTTTTATTGACTAAATGATGTTCTATCATCGCAAAACTTAACACAGAATTCAATGTATAAAACCATAAAAATAATCACTGTTAAGTATATAACAGTATATTCCCAATAACTACATTTTTCTGCATAACTTAATGTTAATAATACTTGTCTTCATTCGTCGGGTTAGCTTGTTATGTGTTTATGGATAAGCCATGCTGGTGTATAGTTAGAAGAATATTATACTGTATCTATATGAATATAATAGTACTGTATGCTGTCTGTCCATGCAACTGTTTTTGCAGGGTATGGGTGGATCTTCACCAAAATTGCTATGGAGGTTCATTGGGTCAATGGGGAGATACGTACAAATTTTCAGTTTCCCATTTTGTGTTTTGTATATTTTGCGTTTTTTACAATTACATATAAGGGAAGCAAATTTTCATGCCCTAAGATAACCTTTCATTAATGATTAATTTACATAACTTCAGTTCCAGGGACGAGTAGTCCAGCTAGTTAGGAAATCGCGTATGTTCCGTCTCGTGTATCGTCAGAAGCGGTATTATACTGTGTTATACAATTGAACATGTTTTAGTCGGTTGTATTCTTAAAAGGTCAATTTTACTGTATAAGGAGACCGAGTATGCTACAGTTGGTGAATCGTCACAAACGTTATTACAATGTCTTAGGAGATGGAGTATATTATGTTACAGCTAGTATATCATAGAAGCAACTGCTGGCCGTAAGACGGTTGACGTGTAACACCTGGCATGATTACATCTTAAGACGGGTGACGTCTACCACCTGGCTTGACTACATCTTAAGACGGTTGACGTGTAACACTTGGCTTGATTACATCTTAAGACGGTTGACGTGTAACACCTGGCATGATTGCATCTTAAGACGGTTGACGTGTAATACCTGACTTGATTACATCTTAAGACGGTTGACGTGTAACACCTGGCATGATTACATCTTAAGACGGTTGACGTGTAACACTTGGCTTGACTACATCTTAAGACGGTTGACGTGTAACACTTGGCTTGATTACATCTTAAGACGGGTGACGTGTAACACCTGGCTTGATTACGTCTTAAGACGGTTGACGTGTAATACCTGACTTGATTACATCTTAAGACAGGTGACGTGTAACACCTGACTAGATTACATTTTAAGACGGGTGACGTGTAACATTTGGCTTGATTACATCTTAAGACGGGTGACGTGTAACACCTGACTTGATTACATCTTAAAACGGGTGACATGTAAAACCTGACATGATTACATTTTAAGACGGGTGACGTGTAACACCTGGCTTGATTACATCTTAAGACGTTTGACATGTAACACCTGGCTAGATAACATCTTAAGACGGTTGACGTGTAACACCTGGCTAGATTACATCTTAAGACGGTTGACGTGTAACACCTGGTTTGACTAAATTTAAGACGGGCGAAGTCTAACACCTGGCTTGATTACACCTTAAGACGGGTGGGTGGCTAATATGAAACAAACCTTATATGTGTTTACAAATATCTTAAAAAGAGCTGTAACGTAAAATAATGTCAATTCCTACCTACGTGATTTGCAGGTAGCGATATACAACATGTGCACTCTGAGGTTGTCGTTCTTAATTTCCTTTTTCGTGCCCTCTTTTACTTTATAAAGTTTTCAACAACTTTAAAACTAAGTTGTTCCTTATACAAAGCATCCGTTTAATCAAGTGACATTACTGTTAAGATGGAGTTGTTGTAAAAAACTTACGCTAGTCTCTTGTATTTATCTAACGAGATCACTCCAAACTCACTATAATGAGTTGAGTTTACCCAAATACTCCTATTTACAGTGAGGAAAAAATAAAATAAAAATACAGGCGTTTAACTCCCCCTTAATTTTATGAATTATTTGGTTGGTTTAGTTCAAACTTTTCATTATCAAATATCATGCTTATCGCATTAAGAAAACACGGTATGTGCTATGAATGATTTTATGTTTCTTCTAAAAACGAAAAACTCGATGAAGTTCAAAGTACCTAATAAAGTAACCTCAGATATTATGTTTCATTCAGTTTCTTATGTAGAGTTCGCTCCATTAATTTACGTGTTGCTTTTGCCATGAATTTCCCTCAAAGTTACACGAGTACTAAGTTTAAAGCGAAAGACTAGAAGAAAGGCAGCTAGTTATCGTTACACGCCACCAACTCTTGGGCTACTCTTGTCAGACCGAATTGTGGAAATTGACCTTCACTCTTATAACGCACCCACGGCACCAATTCTGATCTTTAGAATGAGCTTACTTTGATCACAAGTTAGTTTTAATTAACTGAATAGCAGCGCCAGCTGGTGTACGAGATCTTCAAGAATGTAACACCGACGTTTAATAAGCCTTTCTTTTTTTTGAAAGATATTCAAATATTATTTCATAAATAATTTGATAATTATTTTAAAGAATTCGTACATTATACTTATTACTAAATTATTAAAAGTGAGGATAACTTTAGAAGATAGAGAATCTTCCGGGGGGGGGGCGAGGAGGAGTAGTTCTATTCTTCAGTTTCTTGGTAAGCCAAACAATTTTTTAGGTAGTTCAGCAGATGGATAATAAAACGAAAAAAAAAGTTATGAACACGCTTTGACGTAGCTAATAAGCTGTATAATAAAACTAGGTTGTTTAAAACACAAAGCAACTGACTGACTGACTATGGATTGTTGTCAACTCGTCAGAAAAATTAGTTATGAGTACAAGCTTAACAGTGTCCGGTAAATATTAGTTCAACATGCATATAAAAACGGGTGCAATGTGCATGTATATATATATATATATATGTGTGTGTGTGTGTTTGTGTGTGTCTATGTGTACGTACGTATGTATGTATGCATGTCATTATGTATTTATCTATCTATGTATGTATGTGAGTATGTATGCAGGTTATCTGCGTGTACATATATCCACATATTATTTTCCTTTTTTGTTGTCAAGGGCAAATTAACGCAATGGGCTATCTATGCTGCGCCCACCACGAGTATAGAAACCCCATTTTTGACGGTGTGAGCTCACTGACTTACCGCTGAACCACTGGGGGGGGGGAGTTCTTTTTCTTTTTTTTTCTGAGTAACCCAAAATTAATTATATTTTAACCCGAGTTCTCAAAATTATGAATTTTTTTGATACACCTTCCTAGTTCGGTTTGTCAAAAAAAATTTACAAATCTTACATAGTTTCGTAGCCAAGCGAATAAAGATGATATTTAAACAAGGAATTTCTAATTTTAAATAAAATTACAAAGTCTTTTTAAAAGTCCCCTCTAATTACCAAGTGAGATTAGAACACTTTAAAAGAAAACATATCTAAAGCTGGTCTCTTCCGTGGATTGATAACGTACGTGAACAGTGTGATATATTTCGCGATAGTTTAAATAACAAACGATAGGTTAGAAATATTGTTTGAAACACTGCAGGTGACAACTTAATTAGTCAACGAGAAATATCGAACAATTGCCGGCACAAAAGTCTTAGCTAGACGAGTGGTATTAGCATTTCCTCCTTCGCTACTTAAACAAAGCACCGTGTAATTAAAAGCTAAGTAAATATCGTGTTAATGTTAGCATGTTTAATGCTATAGAATGAAACTGTAGAAACAGAATGAATTTTAACTTTATATTTTAGACGAATGGATTAATGATTTTTTTTTCAATTATTTCTACATTTAACATTTAAATTATCCTTACAAACACGTTCCCAATTTAAAATAGGAGTTTAACTGAAATAAAACAACGAAAGGATATAACAAAATAGCGTAAAAGAAGGTGTAGCGCCAAATCACACGATACAATACAAGAAGTGGTATCATCACACCATTCAGTAAAATACGAGGTGTAGCGTCAATCCACCCGGTACAGTACAAGAAGTGGTAGCATCACACCATTCAGTAAAATACGAGGTGTAGCTTCAATCCACTCGGTACAATACAAGAAGGGGTAGCAGCACACCATTCAGTAAAATACGAGGTGTAGCGTCAATCCACCCGGTACAATACAAGAAGTGGTAGCATCACACCATTCAGTAAAATACGAGGTGTAGCGTCAATCCACCCGCTATAATACAAGAAGGAGTAGCATCACACCATTCAGTAAAATACGAGGTGTAGCATCAATCCACCCGGTACAATACAAGAAGGAGTAGCAGCACACCATTCAGTAAAATACGAGGTGTACTGTCATTCCACCCGGTACAATACAAGAAGTGGTATCATCACACCATTCAGTAAAATACGAGGTGTAGCGTCAATCCACCCGGTACAATACAAGAAGGAGTAGTACACACCATTCAGTAAAATACGAGGTGTAGTACAGAAATTAGCTATCCAGTAAAATATGAATAGGATTCGTGTCAAACCATTCGGTAAAATAAGACTGCAAGGAAATTAAGAATCATGGAACGAACTCACTAACGTAGGAAAAGAAAAAAAAATCATTAAGAAAGATCTTATGACTGGAAGTTGAGTAAAGTAAATGTCTCGATTCAGGAAAGTATTACATAATTATTGTTTAATTAATTAACATCATTAATTTAAACTACTCCACTGTGTTAAAATTTAAATGAATTTTGTTTTATATACAAGCACATTCTTCTTGTAATTGTCTACAAGTTTTGAATGCAAGAATGTTTCCCCTGTAGAACATCTTTCACTGTATAGCACCTACCCTTAAACAAACAAACAATATTTTTGTGGGATGGCAGGAGTTATTGTACCTAAATATACTGTCAGCACATCTTAACTAGCACA